TGATCCCCTACATCCTTGTTTGAAGTTAAATCAAACAGTAAGTAATTTGGAGCATGAAGGGCATGACACTCGCCCCAAGAGAGAGCAGAGAAGTCTATCAAGCATCCCTTACAAAAGATGTGTTCACATGAGGTAACCTGAAAACAACAGGAAAAATGTAGTTGAAGGATACAATAGTACACCAATTTTGCTGTAAAGAAACAACGGACAGAAGATAAAAAGTAAGGGGACTATGAACTAACGACAGGATCTTCTGCAGGCTCATGACAAATGCCACATATTTGTTCAACATCGTCAACGCTAACGTCAGCCCCAGCTTTTAATGATGCAGCTTGAGAATATACCACAAGGTACGGATGGTCAACAGCCTGTAATCCAAGAAAGAGATATTTGAGATCAATTAACAGCAGAATGCTCTACTATCAAGCTACTGAGGAAAGCAGAAAATCACATCTCACAGACTTCAATTCCTATCGTCAACCCAAGACCAAAATGAGTTCAAAGTTTCCTTCGTAACTTGTAGAACTTCTTTGTCGGCAGAGAGAAAAATCTTACATGAAGGAGCAAGAACAAGAACAGAAATGAAAATCTGCTCATTACTCGACAAGTACTAAAAGAACCTACCTCCCAGTTCTCACAAGAATAATCCAGACTAAAATGAAGAGTATGGAAACCCTATTCATGTAAATCAAAAAAATAAATGAAGTCATGCCAATAGAACACCCTACTATTCTTAAAAAAACTATTAATCATTGTTAAGGAAATAAAAAATCAGATATTTCAAAGAGATAAAAAAAACTAAATTATTAAAAATTGAAAATGATTTATACCAGTCTAAGACTCTTAGTTCTAGACAGTCTACCCAGGAAGTCATATCTTCAGTAACATGTCACTCACTTTGCACTAAAATTTTAGAGCAAAATAAAGTTCCATATTATCATTAGAGTAAAAGAAATTTACAAAATCAATAACAAGACAATATAGGGATATGATCAAAATGTGGGAAATTCAAGGTCAAGGACATCCAATGGTTCCATACAAATACACAGGCCTCAAATAATAATGTCTATCATCCTTCATTTAACAAATTTAAAATCGGGGGAAGGGACCAGAGAGAGACAGAGAGAGAGAGTTTTGAAGGGGCTGCATCATAAGGTGTAAATGTCAAAGTTCTTTCCTCTTCCATTGAAATAAACACACACCTGCCGGAGTCTGGTGAGGAGGTCAAATATATGAGCATAGTTATTTGTCAAAGTATTCGATTCCACATATCTGTGATGGAGAATCAAATTGATTACTTAGATAGGAAGCAGAAAGACAACGAATAAAAGAGTCAACAAAAATATACGGCTCTTCTCTTCCTCCAGATTAAAAATAAATTTCATGCATATATTGGTGATTAACATCTTGTGAAAATAAAAGTTAAATTTTAGTTATTACAACAAAAGAATCTGCTTCACTTTCTTCATTGTATTTCTATAGTAAGCAGAATATGTGACATACGTATTAAACTGCGCCTGGCTCTCATTATATAATGATTCATAATAGTCTTGCTCTTTTATATCCAGGCTATCCTTTCTCAGTGAAACCTGCAAGGAATTGACGGAAGAGATCACTACATACCTTTTCTATATTCAAAATCGCAAACTTTGCCACATTGCAAATAATAACTTACGATTCTAGGTGGAAGTGCGAGATCAACAGCTCGGCCTAATTTAGTGCGCCTTAATATTACATTTTTTAAAACCTTGTGTTTAAGCAATATCATTGCTCTCCTACCGGGATCATCGGTTCCATATAATTGAATTGGCGTGGCTACAAACTTATCAATATTCAATAACAGAATATGTCAGTACTAATTTGTATCAAACAGCAAGGATTTGTTTTTCTTGACTGGAACAAATGCAAAAAAGGCAAATAAACTACAAAACTTACTTTATTCCACCAACAGAAATGTCTGACAGAACTGTGCTGGCAGTTTGAACATTCCTTAGAACTGCATAAAAGCATCATGATCACAACTCAGAAGCATAAAGTTAACATGTTAACAATATAGTTGCAAGATATATAAAAGCACAAGGGCGCTTAGAGGGATGCTCGCCTTTGCATACTCAACAAAACAGAGCACAATAGAGCATTTCAAAGAAGTAAAGAGATGAAAAATAATTCTAAGAAAACCTTTATAAAGAAAAGAGAAGCGCTTTTTTTTTTTTTTTTGGCCAAGGTAAAAGCAGCTTGCTTTAAGCTATTGAATTATACATAAATGACAAAACATGGAAACCGTCATTTAACAGATAAAATAATAAAAGAATAGAAAAAGAAGCTGACAATTCAGTTCCTCAAAGGGTAAACAAGCAAAACCAAAATGAACAATAAATCATGTTCCCAGTAGTTAAGTTCACACATACCTATGATCAAGAATCCTGCAATCACAGTCCTTGCACAGGTAATAGGAATAAGGAACTATTTGCAGGAAACGTATCTGTATTAACAGCATAGCAAGTAAATCATCTTTAAAACATAAACTTTCCAGATTATGGCAAAATACATAAGACGGTAAACTGACCAGAGAATACAGCTCTCCTACACGATTCTGAAGGGGAGTTCCACTTAACGCCCATCTATAGGAAGACTCTAGAGCAAGAATTGCTTTTGCAGTGTTACATTGTCTAGATTTTATATAGTGCGCCTATTTTTATAATTTAAAAGTATAAAGGTCAATTTCTTGTCAAGATACAAGCAAAAGACTTGGCACAGTCAAATAAGAAAGAAACCATGCTCCAACTACTTTAGACAAATGGGTGAACAGGACAATTCAAATGTGTAAACAGATGATTTTATTTCATGAAACAGAACCATTTCAATGCCATAATAATGATAAAAACTGACCTCATCCAAAATGATCCGCTGCCACTTTACAGAATGTAAAAGTGACGACCCCTTGCATCTGGTATCTGAATTCCCTGATCCCATGTTCCTCTGAATTTTCTTCTTTATATTGACTTCTTTTTTCTCTTTCTTGAATTGCTTCGATTGCTTTTCTGTTCTTTCAGCATCAGGCCCGCAATAATATCTCTGGTGAACAGATAACTTCGTCTGGCTAAAAGATTTGCCACAATATTGACACTTCTCTTTAGGAGGCATCATATGCTTCCTATACTCTGATTCAACAGTAGAGTATGTAGTTATTACAAAATCATACCCTGAGAACTCTTCCCTACACTTCCCTCTCTTGGCCCCATGATAAATTAGCACCTTGGTGCTTCCTTTTAGAGTAAACCTATCAATCTCACTAACCCACTGAGTGACAGCAACCACAGGACAAATTACAAGCGTTCCTTTGATCCAAGGCAATGCTGTAGATGAACCTGGCAAAGAGGATGTTTCATCTGGTTCACAAACCATTTGCCGGATTTCACGTTGGGCAAGGACAAGAGCAATTGCTTGAATAGTCTTTCCCATCCCCATTTCATCTGCAAGAATACCCCCCTTAATTTCGGAATTCTCCTGTTTCAAAGCCCATGCTAGCCATTCCTTTTGGTATCTTAGTAACGGCATGGTAAGGTCAGAGGAAGCCTCAGCAGTTTCATTCATTAGTTCATTCTGATGACCCAACTCAACATCTTCTGAAAAATTCTCATCAATCCATCTCTCATGCTGCTCTTCCCAAACATTCCACAACAACACTTGTTTTGTTTTTTTTCTTGGTCTTTTGGTTTTTTCTTCTTTCTCAGGCTAGCCAAATCATGTTCAGTTGATTGCTGCTGAACTCCTGAGGAGCCATCATCGTCCCCATGCTCCAACACTCCTATGTCCTGACTGGACTCTCCAATTTTAGAGCTGAGTTTTCTCCTTTTCTTTCCTCTTCTCTTTCCAGGCCGAGATGAGTCAGAGCTGTCGCCTAACCCATCAGAAGAGCAAAAGCTTGAAGTAGGTTCTTCATTTAAGTCAGGAAAGGAGTTCAAAGCTGCTTCATCTACATGAAATCATTTCTCATCAACAGGCATGTCATGAGGACGAAATAGACTACAACATTAGCATTATAAAGATTTCTATACTAAACCAGGGAGGAAAAGAAAGAGATTTTATTTGAAGGTTTAGATTGAAGTGGTTAAAACTTCAAAATAGAATCACGCTGTCAACAGCCACCCACGATTCCGAAAGAAATAATCAGTAGGTTATAAGACCATCTGAAGAGACTTCAATTGCATTATTGCCACAATCGCTAGCAGTTTTAGCTTCTCCAGAGGCATCATCGGGTGGTTGTTCATTTCTTGTTGCTACATTATACAAAACCATCAAAATAAGCAAGGAGGAAAAGACAGTGAATTCAGTAAACCCACGCTAAGGACCCAATCTTCAGCATTCTATTTTAACTAAGGATCACCCCGCACTGGCCCAGACTGCTGGGACTTCTAGCACATGGGTGAGGAGCAAGAACACAAAAACTTCAAGATCCTACCTCTTTCTAAACCCCACCAGGAAACCTTCAAGCCGCTATCCAAACTGGCTTAACAATATGGGAATTTCCAAACAGTAATGGCGAAGAAAAGACGGGCACGGGACATAAACCAGTTGACCGCAACAAAGTTTGCCAACAAGGCAATAATAACTCCCTGTTCTCCTGTCGTCTATTTAAAAATCTTATCCCGCAAAGTAATCACTCTCATGCAGAGAAAAGTAGCGCAAAGACATCGGAAGTGAACCACAAGAGGGAAAAGTCAAAAAAAAAAAAAGAAGCAAGAAACTAGAACCCAATCCTCTGATGCCTATCATGTTATCATAAAACAAAAACAATCAAAAACCACACCAGAGGCATGAAAGTACGAAAAAAGAAGTTGATACAATCGCAGCGATGGAATGTTTACCATCGATATCAGGAGTAGGAAGTCGCCTCCGAGAACGTAGCTCCATCGATGCAGCTAACGGAAATTTACTAGGGTTTGTGACAATGAAGAGGTTAGATTAGAATAGCGGTTCCGGAAACAGGAATGGCAGTGTGAGTGATGGTGACTCCTGGTACGAAACGGCGGGAAGAGGCCCTTACTTTATGCTCAGCGGACGAAGGCGCCTAAAACGCAGTCCAATATCAGGTTGTGATTCTCTGCGGTGGCGACCACAACCGAGATACCACGTGGAGTATTCTACACCACTGGAGACTTACAAAGGATCGCGTGAGTGCGTTATGTCAGCGCTTTGATCTCTATAGATCAAGCATTCGACCAAAAAGACATAAATATAGCAACCGAGAAGCAAGCGCATCGTGATCCGTCCGTACGAGGCTCCTACCGAAAATGCATCCTGCAGAGAGAAACGTTAAAAATACAATTGCTTCCCCCGCAAGATTCATGCACACGTTTCGATCTGGTGGGCTTATGTTCTGCACTTGTGCACAATCTCCATCGTGGGATTGATCTAACAAAGGAGATGCTCACTTAACAAGACGGCCTTTCATACTATACTGTCCCTGCCAATCGATTGGACGAAGCTGAACCAAAGCTGAGGTGAATCTTCACGGATGGTCCAGATCGCTCCTCACAAAAATAGGACAGCCGACCGTCACCCGAGGGAGAATCATTGGGGAAAGTTGATTTAATTTTATAAACATATTTTATATAAGTTAAAATAAAACTAATTTAATATATATTTTTTATATTTCGTAAATTATTATTTATAAACTATTCAAACCAGCCTTTAATTATTTTCTCTCCACTTTTGCTTCTCATGAGCACATGAGCACTTAAAATAATGGGGAGAAAAATGAGGGGAGTAACTTCTCTTGTTGCGAGTTTTCTTATGAATTTTCAAATTTGTCTCTCACGTTTTAACGATTGATGAAATGTCTTGAGTTGTATTTTTCACCATTAAAACGCTTGTGCCTTGTATCTAAAATCACAAGTAGATACAATTATTAATATAAAACCTAATTAAATAATTTTTAAAAAATTAAAAAACTACTTAATTTTAATATATATTATACACGATTTTTTAAAATACTTATATGTATCATTAAATTATATATTAGTTTTTAAATCAGATAAATTAATTCTTAAAAAAAAGATAAATATAATATTTTAAAATAATTTATTTCACTCTTTTAATCTCTTCAAATTAGATAACTGAGTTTTATCAGTAATATTGTTTTACCATATTATTTATACAATTTATGTTAAATTATGAATTCAAAAAAAAATCAATTTCAAATTGAAAATACAAAACACATCAATAGTTGTATATAAAACACAAAAAACAGAATGTGAAGAAGCGAAAAAGATTATTAATAAGATAAATTTATAAGAGTTTTTTTTTCCCCCTCCAAAATCTCTTCATCATTAGAAGGAAAAGGTTAGGGAACAAATAGGTGGAATACGCGTGTTATTTTTCCCCATTCCCCTCGCTCCAGGTTTCTCTGTCCCGGTACTTTTCCCATTTATGACCAGGATAAGCGCGTTTGGGATGCCCTAAGGCACTATTGAGACATAAATTAACGCAACTAATACAGAATTTTCATTTTTAAATAAGGGTGGGAGTTCGATTCTCAACTTTATATCAACTTATTGCTGTAGCTCTAACAGGCAAAATTATATAACATGAACAATAATATTTTGGCACTTAACTCGAAGCCTACACGTCAGATACAAAATTATATAATTGATATACCATAACTTTTTATGTGCGGACAATAATAAACATGAAGAACCCTGAAAGAGGCGGTAGAAAATTAGGAAAAATAACATGATTCATTGATTCGTGAACATTACTTCATATCACTACTTATATTATATCGTAAATGAGGCTCAAATGATCAATCGTCTATTCCATATCTTGGGACAAACAAAATCTCTATGGAGTAAAAATGAATACCGCGAAAGGAATGAAGGAGGAAAGTGGCTCGAGTTGAGCCTTGAATACAACTGCTACTGATGCTGGGCGTATATGAATGAACTGGTTCTTACTTCTTATCGTATAGAGAGCTCAAATGCTATGGCCTATAGCCCGACCACATAGGAGAGCATTGCTTGGGATAGGGTATTCATCTCTCCATGAATTTGCAGCCGAATACACACGAAGATAGAATTGCTGCCCCAAGTATTGACGAGCCCAGTTCTCTGATCTCACATTCCACATCCCCACGTTGTCCAGAGGCATGTATATTGCAGTCCATGACTTGGGATACACCTGCTCCATCATAATCACATATACCAACAAGCAAAATTCTACGTTTTCAGGTGGGATTCCAAGATGAATGAAAAAGGTTTATGATAATTTATGAGTTTCTGTACCTGAACAGTACAGCGAGAAATCGTGTCTCTTAAATTGTAACTCGACCTACTGGCAGCTGACCATTGTCCTCCATCCATCCTGCGAAATTCCAACTCACGAGTGTTGTCATAAGGAACTCCAATGATCCCAAAAACAAAAAACAAAAAAATCCATTAACAGGTTTAAGGGAAGGTGAACTCACCCTACGATGAAGAAGTTGTGGCCATCAATGTGCCAAGATTGCAGGGTGTCTTCAGGATTCTCAAAGACAATCTCAGCAAAGCCACGGAAGTCGGCAGCCATAACAGAAGTTTGAAGGTAACCACCGGAGCCAGTGGGGTTGTCTGGGATGCTTCCAAGGGAGAAAACTCCTGAGATCTTGAAGTAATCAGCAAGCTTGAGGGGTGTATCAGCAGGAATAAAGGACACACTATTCACGGCATATCTCTGCTTCCCGTTGATGATTGGTGCGGAATTTTGAAGCCTAATTGTACGTGTTGTGTTGATCATACCATAATGGTATGATCCTTGAGGGTTAGGCCTTGGTCCGCTTGCTGTCAGATTACGCCTGGTTTCATATATAGCATGCATGAAGTTTTTAAAAGGATTGATCAAGAAATTTAGTTTTTACTGCTGAGTCAAGAAAGAAATAGGGTAATGTACCTGAGTGATCGAGCTTGTTCTAAAGACCAATCAATCTGGGTGGTTGGGCCGCCAGGGGGAGGGCCAGAAACAGAGGAAGCTGAGTTGCTGTAATGGAGAATGGAGGTCGTAGAAAGCACCTGGGAGGTGAATCTTGTGGAGACAACAATGTAGTAGTCTTGTGGCGGTTGATCAGCAATGACCAATACAGAGTAAGTCTGGCCAAGATGAATGTCAAGAGAACTATAAGTGTTTTGGAGAGTGTGGGTTCCTTCCACCTCAACCAGCAGCATTTTATGCCCTTGGATTCTGAAGTTGATGGATGTTGTCAGGCCCACATTTGATATCCTGAATCTGTAAGTCTTACCTGACAAACCACCAAACACATAACAGTCAATGTCTAAGTAATTATAGCTTCATTGGCATATGAACACAGGCAGGCAAAAAAATTAGAAGAATAGAGAAGAAATTCTTTTTCCGTACCTTGATCAACTGTGAATGTGTAACCATTAGAGCCGCGGCCATTGATGACGAGCCCGTCAGGGAATGGAAGATCACTTCCACCGTCTAAAATGGCCTTCAAATCCTACAAAAATAAACATCAAATTATCAATTTAAGATTGGATTCCTTCAACAGTAAAGACTATTCTACAGTTACAACCTAAAAGATAAGAACAGTGACACGGCCACGCGAAAGCTTTCAAATGTTCACAATTCATATGATTTTTTGAAGCGCCGGGTCTTAGAGTTGGTGTCAGCGATGAAAAAGCGAGCTACTTACAGTGTGATTTCTCTTGTACCAGTCTCCTGCCAAGATGGTGAAATCCCCGCTGGGGGAGGGAAAGGCACAGGAATGACAGAGCGGCTAGCAATTTTGAAGCCACCATAGCCTCCTGCAGCCTTGTGGAATGCAAGAGAAGGGAAGTAGAAGTAGCTACCAATCTGATCTTTCACTTGAAGAACGAAAGTAAAGTTCTTCCCTGGTGGGATTGGACAATTGGTCCCATAAACTCCATCCTGCCATGAGTTCCTCCTCTGCTGCACTCCATTCCTACGACCAATAACACCGTCTTCATATCAGACTTACACTAACTATGCTTTGGCTGTTCGAGCAATTATGGCTGCCAGATCTACAGAAATAACTAAACTAACACGTGTTTTTCCCATGAAAGGGACATCATTTGCCATTGAACTTTGGAAAATTCCATCACCTATTTGTCCTTGTGAAGAGTATGGAGGGAAAAGAACACAGTACAGCAGAGTAAAAGACTATAAAGGAAGAAAAAAGTAACAGAGGAGAGAAGGACTAACCAGGAGATGAGAAAAGGTTCGTCCAAGCTGTTGTAAACATTGACAATCAAGTTATCGTTGGTCACTGATTCGATCTGGGGACCTGGGAATTGGCCGTTAATCAGTATCCCCTGCCATTTCACACACCCGGGAGTCAACAAACACGATGATGAATAGTGCCAGAGAAAAATATCAAAAGAACCAGAAAAAGGAAGAAAAATTGCACCTGTTGTTTAACTCCAAGAGGATAAATGTCTCCATAAGTGACATTCCAAGAGTAGAACTTGTAAGGGTCATCTCCAATTGCGCAGGTAACCAGCAAAACTAACAGAAAGAGACAAGCCAGTCTCTTAGACCGTCCCATTCTCCTCTTTCCTCTGTTTCTTCTTCCCTTTCTAAGCCAAATGCTACTATGGGGAAATGTTCAGAAAAGAAGCCAAGATCAAATCTTTCTTTTTCTTTTTTTTTTTTAATAAACCCTCATGCTTCTTTCCGCAAAGAGGATAAATGGTTCCTCAACTTTGCTTCTCCTCTTGTTCGCCTGCTTTTTTAGCCTTGGAGCGTTGTCCACCCCAGACGAGATAATAATGTCGGCGGAGGAGAGAGAAGAAGCAGAGGTTTCTTAAACAGTGTGGTAATGAAGCACCCTGCGTCTTTGTTTCCGAATAGGGATCTCTGAGCTGTACCGCTTCAGGGTCTTGAGAAAAGCGTCGTCACTCGCCACCACTTACTCCTTCAAAGTGTTCAAACCGCGTCCTTTCTGTCACAGCAAAGTGTATTTATCTTTTGAGAAAAATCTGTAGTGTAATTTAATCTTGTACCGAAATCGTCGAGCAAGAAAACAGCAAGTAAATGCTGGGTCCTCACTTTGTGTGCAAGGTGGGCGCTGATTCGGAAAAATTAATATAAAATCAGCAAAGCAGTTCATGATTAAGCAGGATCATATTCGTCCTATACTCTAAATCAATTAATCATTGGTAGCTTCTAGTCAAAGTGAAGAACTAACTTTTTTTGTTCAATCCCTCCGTTTTTTAATATCAGGAACAGGCACGTCTTCA